TGTAGGATAGTCATCCTATTTATTCTCATGACGTAGATAAACTAGATTATGGCTTGAATAAATTTTTTCACTTGGAACATAATTCAATTTCTTCAAGTAAACAACAAAGTGAGCTTCCCAATGGTTTTGATCAAAGGAATGTTTGTAGTTGGTAAGTCTCTTCATTTCGTTTATAATGATAGGTTTATTCATGTGGGTTTTCAGCGACTGTATATATATATATATATATATATATATATATATATATATATATATATATATATATATATATATATATATATATATATATATGAAGAAATGGTGTTTTTGATTAATAGATTTTTCACACTGACGTGTGAAATCAATATTGATGCCTATTTTCGCAAATTAAGTCCATTTTTCGTAAAGAAAAGATCATGTTATCTAGTTGTTTTTTATTACAAGTTAGTTCTCTCTTTCAAAGACAGACTTGATGACACTTTCCTGATTTATACTTTTGCAGCAACATATTCTGTTACCTGATTAGCTATCATCGCTTTTAGTTAGATAACTTTATGATGAGCCTTGCGGTCATTGCTTGTTACATTAACAAAATCAAGTTAAACCTTTTCAAATTTGATTTCTTTACGGAATATAGAGTTATCCTAAACCTTTCGTCTTCTCCCTCTTCATTGGCGTATGGATTATCAACGTTGAAATGTTTGTTGTGTGACACATTCATCCTATTTGGGACTCATCACCTAGACTTAAGCTCCAAAACCGATTTTCACCACTGGGCTTCAACCTAGTACCGTTCATTTCAAACACCATCGCGTTATCCACTTAGCTACTGAGTTCAGGCAGCCACTTGTGCAACTGGTATGAGATGTCATTCAATGTAAAATGGTTTTGATTATCTTGTCATTAATTCAGGTACATCCAAATAACGAGTCGTAAATAGAGCATCATGGATCCCACTGTTATCTAAATTCCGTCGATTCTGTATTAACTTGCTTCATAGTAGTTGTATCGAGACAATCCTCACAGGATGCATACATACCAACTAAGACTGATCAAATCTCAGTCAAAATACCAATAACGGACAATTTAAACCATTTCAAATTACATTATTTCCTTTCGTAGTTTGCTGTTTCCATAATTTGTGTGTTATTAAGAAGAATAAATTCTGTTATACTCATATGTGAACTGTTTCTTGTAGTAATCATAATGCGTTTATGATTTCTTTTCCCTTAATCTTGCTAGAATATTGTAGTTTCATTTTTAACTCATGTTCTGGTATTGGTATCCAATGTACCAAGTATTTTTGTCTCGTAATTACTTCTTGGTGGTGTTTGTAAAAAAGTAAACTGGCAATACTTGAAGAAATCGACCGATGATAATGAAACAGCAATAATAAGATCTTTAATGTATCATTCGGATTAATAGATTTACTTTCTCCATAAGTTTTTACTTCTTATTTTTTATAAAGGAGAGTAATAAAGTGTTATGACCTTGGTTTGTCTACCCACTTTTGGTGCCGAGGTTACTTGTCTAATCTAGATTTCGACCTTGATGCGATAGGCTGACCGGCTTAACCTTGAGACTAGTACGCGTGAGTTCGAGATAGGGTAGAGAGAAGAAAACTATTCTGTCACCTGACTGGTGGGCAAGCACGCGAATGAGAGAAGACAAGACAACTGGAACTCTACTCGATCTATTCCTGACTTCACTGAATTCAGATTAGTGTAAAAAGGTACATTAATAAATAAGTGAATAACCCGACCGCAACGTACAATAATTAGGAAAAATACAATTATGTCCAAAGCTGGGAATTAGAGTAGAAAATAGGGTGCAAAATAATATGTTTAAATTACAATAGCTTCGGAACAGAAAAAGTTATGGCAGTGAATGATACATCGAACGAAAGCTTATGTTCTGTAGAATAGATTAGGGACAGAAATAAATGTCAGTGTTTTACAAACTCTGAATAAAATGAAATAACGTCCCGAAAAATAGCCTTCGTAGTTTGTCAGGGCCTCTTGTTTCCCGGTTCACATCATAAAAATATCTCAGGACAACTAAAAGACTACTCTATAGAGTTGTCCTTGACAATATTTCAAGTAAGTAAGTTGTACTATATCTGATATGCTATTTATTGGGCTATAGTGTACAATCAGATGTTCGCTCAACAAAAATGTTTTGAAGCCCTCTTTCTTCGGTGTTTTTTATACCGTTCTGTTGCATGGTTGCTCGTATTTATTTAGTTCCAAAGAATGTCAATTTGTCAATGATAGGGATCGATTGGTACGTGGCACTCTACTGAAAGCATTGTTGCACAAGTTTGACTGTACAAATGATGATACAAAGGCGATCATTCCATTCAACTCAACTGATCGTCAACCTTTTTCAATGCATTGTGCGTTACATGCAGATCGTAAGTAAACAATTGATTTATTTATATTAAACAAATAGAGCTCTCTGTCAGTTTTGTAGTGGCTGTGCTTCGTTGACCAATCACCCTCGTAACCGTTATCGTATAAACCCCAACGGTAGTTGAAATCAGAAGGCAAACAGAAGCAGCTACTACAGTTTTATTAGCAGGCAACTCAAACCACAGAGCAGAGAGGCGAATGAGTCAGCAAACCGTGATTGTGTGAGAATGTGTGGAAAATGTGTAGTGTTAAATATACATGTATATATATAGAAAAGTGAATGGACTATCGAATCGATTAAGCGAATAATAATAAGGTTAGTGGGATGAATATATGCGTGGGCAGTCAACAGTGTTCAAGCATGCTTATTCATACAAGCATAACAATAATAAAGATAGAATAAGTTGTTAAAGTACAGATAACCTTGTCCGTTTACTAGGTTAACAAAAGGACTTAAACGAATTAGATGAGGGCAAACTCAACTGAACGTGAGTTGCTATAATAGCTCCCCCCTGCAAACAAAGATATATAGAAAAAAATGTCTGTGTTTGCACAAAAAATAGTAAACTGAATAGAGTAGTTACAATTGTTTGGAGAAAGTGCTTATACAAAATTAAGATGAAGCTAAATTTGTTGTGTATGTGGTTTGTGCTTGTCCATGAGGCTATATAAAATAACAGTAGGGAATAGAAGGAAAGTGTTATCGTTTGTTTTTTTTTTACACATAAGTGTAGGGTACATAATATATGCCTAGTTTTATAGTGTATAATACAGGCTTAATAATGTATATGTATACAATGAAGTGGAAGAGTTATAATTAATATTCAAAATAATAGTAAATTATCAATAGAAAATTGTAGCGATGTAGCGTTGAGGCCATCTTACTCTGCGGCCAGATCTCGTTGTTACTGGAGTCTCGCCTTTTTGCTGCGTTAGCGTCGTTGATTCTTGAGACTCGTGTTTCGTTGGTGTGACAATCTTCGAGGATTTTGTACTTGTTGACTGAATATCGCTATCGATGAAAGCTGGTTTCACTCTATCGATACTGATTACATCTGTTTTCCCAGCTTTTTCTATGGTAATCGTTTTATCTGTCCTCGCTGTCACTTTAAACGGACCGTCGTAATTCGGTTGCAGGGGTGGTTGTACTTTATCTCTTCTAATGAATACATGAGTGCTTTTGTGTAGCTCCTGAGGTATGAATACCTGTCGTTGTTGAGGTCTGGGTGGTGTTGTTTTTAAATCGCTCATGTGCTTTTTCAAGCGTTGTACGTAGTTGGCTACATCAGTCGGAACACATTTATTCGAAGTGAAAAATTCTCCGGGTAACCGTAGAGTAGTTCCGTATACCAACTCGGCTGGACAACATCCCATATCTTGTTTAATTGTTGCTCTTAAACCTAACATTACTAGAGGAAGCTTATTGGCCCAATCATTGTTTACAATGACGGATGTAAGAGATGCTTTTAATTGCCTATGTAGACGTTCGACCATTCCGTTTGCCATTGGATGGTAAGATGTCGTTCGAATTCGTTTAATACCGAGGAGTTCTGTAAGTTGTTGAAAGAGTTGACTTTCGAATTGAGCTCCTCTATCAGTTGTGATGATCGCTGGTACGCCGTAGTAAGAAATCCAATTTTCAACTAGTGCTTTGGCTACCGATTCGGCTGAGGTATCTTTTATCGGTACTGCCACCGGCCATCGAGTAAATCTGTCAATGCATGTAAATATATAATTGTATCCATTCGAAACCGGCAGTGGTCCTACAATGTCGATGTGTATATGCTCAAATCTAGTATCTGAGTGTGAAAATGGATCCACTGCGGAGCTAGTGTGACGATTTACTTTGACTTTTTGACACTTTATGCATGTCTGTGTCCAATTACGTACATCGTGGTTCATGTTTGTCCATACAAATCGTTCACTGATTAGTTTTATCGTGGCTTTTATTCCGGGATGAGACATATTGTGCATACTTTCAAAAATCTTCTGTCGCAATGATGTCGGGATAAATGGTCGCGGTCGGCCTGTCGATGTATCACATGTTACTTTCGTGTTACCGAACCGCACCTCTTCGAGCACTAGTGATGTCGTACCCTCGGATCTGAGCTTCTTTAATTCGGTGTCTCTCTCTTGCAACTTTGCTAGACCATTGTAATCGATTCCACTTGCCATAAGTGCGTTTATCATTGCTCTGGACAGAGCGTCAGCTACGTCGTTTTCCTGTCCTTTAATATATCGTATATCGGAAGTGAACTGTGAAATGAATTCTAACTGCCGGATCTCTCTCGGGGCATAATTGTCTTGTTTTGCGCTTAATGCTTTAGTAAGTGGTTTGTGGTCTGTGCAGACGGTAAAACTTATACCTTCTACCATATGACGAAAATGTTTTATGGCTAAGTAAATTGCTAGTAGTTCTCTTCCAAAAGTACTGTACCTTGTTTGTGTAGGGTTCAGTCTTTTCGAAAAAAATGAGAGGGGTTCCCAAGTGCCGTTTACTAACTGCTGTAAAACGGCTCCTACCGCCACATCCGATGCGTCAGTCATGATAGCTAGTGGTGTTTCACTCTTTCGTCTAGTTAATGTCGTTTCTTTATTTAATGCTTTTTTGGCTTGCTCGAATGCCTGTATCGCCTCTGGTGATAATTGGAATTTCCGGGCGTGTCCTCTAAACGAGTCAGTTAATGGTTGCAATATCGCCGCACAATTCGGGATAAATCGTCTGTAGTAATTTACTAACCCGAGGAATCGTCGTAACTTCTTCCATGAGTCGGGTAGCGGATAATTTTTGATGGCGTCGACTTCTGTTGAGACAGGTGTAATGCCTTGAGAAGTTACAACGTGACCTAGGAATTGCAAGGATTCCTTTCCAAATTCACACTTCTCAATGTTTATGGAAACGCCATGTTCTCGCAGTCGCATGAATAATTGTCGTAACTGTTGTATGTGTTCATCCTTAGTGGCGCTGGCTACTAGTAAGTCATCAATATATGCGTAAACTCCAGGTAAACCTCTGATGACCTGGTCGATAAACCGTTGAAAGGTTTGCGCTGCGTTCATCAGTCCGAAAGGCATGCGCAGAAATTCGTACAGTCCAAACGGGGTCGTTACCGCTGTCTTTGGTATGTCGTGTGGAGCAACAGGAATGTGATAGTAGGCTCTAACTGAGTCGATCTTTGAGAAGATAGTAGCGCCTTCTATACTGTAAGTAAAATCGTGGATATGTGGTATAGGATATCTATCGGCTACTGTTTGTTTGTTAAGTGCTCTGTAGTCTCCACATGGCCTAACTTCGCCATTCTTTTTCGGGGCCATATGTAATGGGGATACCCACGGGCTGTTCGAAGGCCTTATAATGCCCAGCTTCATCAACTTGTCGAATTCCTGTTTTGCTATTGCTAGTCTTTTTGGGTCTAATCTTCTTGGCCTTGCATTAATTGGTGGTCCATTCGTTATGATATGGTGCTGAATGGAGTGTTTGAGATCTGCCTTATTGTACGTTACTTTCACGAGTTCAGGAAATTCCTTTAACAACAATTTATATGGATCACCGTGGCTTTTATCTATCACTAGATTCATGGAAACGGCTTCTGTAAGTGTTCCTCTTATCGAAGTGGTGTGACTACCATTTACCTCTTTCTGCAAAGTACTAAGTCTATCATCTACCGTCACGTTGTGTAATGGAGGGCTTGTTTGTTTGGTTCTTTCGTATATTCTATCGGCTATTTTTGCTATGTTGTCTATATCGGCGTCCGTATCTCCGACGGCTAGGATCTGCTGTACACTTGACGGAAGTCGCCTAAGCCACAGTTGATAAAACAGGTTATTGTCTATTTGCCTATCGCCCAACAGGCTTTTCATATACGTTTTTAGCTGTGATGGGGTTCTATCTCCCATTTGTACTTGGTTAAGAAGTTGTTCGACAGCTTGCTGATCACTTAGAGAGAGAGTTTTAATTACTTCTTGCTTTAGTACATCGTACGGCTTCTCGATGTCTGGTTTCGCTAACGCCTCTCGTACGCTATCTGCTACTTCGTCTGGAAGAAGTGTGCTTGTGAGACCGAATTTATCTCTTTGTAAGTGAATGCGGTTAGCCAAAAAATAATTTTCAAGTCTAATGAACCAAAGTTTTGGGTCGGTGACATTAAAAGAGGGGGCAGGAAGATTAAGAGACCTCACGGACTGGGTTTGCTGTAAACTTGATACAGTGTTTTCGGAAGACATGTTTATAAAAATATTAAGTAGCACACGAATATAATGTAACTGTCATAAAGAAAAATGGACGGACCAAAAACAATGATAATAACAAATGGTACAATTTATAACATAGAACAGACTTACTAAATTGCACCAAAATATCAATTGCTTGTAAAATATCGTTGTTTATTATGAATATTATCGTTATGTTCAATAATGTTTGTGTGATAATGTACGTATAATTAAAATAGTAATATAATAAATCCACAGTTAAAATTATAGTCCATATGATAATCCAAGTTGAGACGAAGTGCGTTGAATTTCGGGAATTTGATTATATCGTCGAAAGTTGTTTCGTGTTCGCTCGTCGGGATCGCCAATTCTGTAGTGGCTGTGCTTCGTTGACCAATCACCCTCGTAACCGTTATCGTATAAACCCCAACGGTAGTTGAAATCAGAAGGCAAACAGAAGCAGCTACTACAGTTTTATTAGCAGGCAACTCAAACCACAGAGCAGAGAGGCGAATGAGTCAGCAAACCGTGATTGTGTGAGAATGTGTGGAAAATGTGTAGTGTTAAATATACATGTATATATATAGAAAAGTGAATGGACTATCGAATCGATTAAGCGAATAATAATAAGGTTAGTGGGATGAATATATGCGTGGGCAGTCAACAGTGTTCAAGCATGCTTATTCATACAAGCATAACAATAATAAAGATAGAATAAGTTGTTAAAGTACAGATAACCTTGTCCGTTTACTAGGTTAACAAAAGGACTTAAACGAATTAGATGAGGGCAAACTCAACTGAACGTGAGTTGCTATAATAGCTCCCCCCTGCAAACAAAGATATATAGAAAAAAATGTCTGTGTTTGCACAAAAAATAGTAAACTGAATAGAGTAGTTACAATTGTTTGGAGAAAGTGCTTATACAAAATTAAGATGAAGCTAAATTTGTTGTGTATGTGGTTTGTGCTTGTCCATGAGGCTATATAAAATAACAGTAGGGAATAGAAGGAAAGTGTTATCGTTTGTTTTTTTTTTACACATAAGTGTAGGGTACATAATATATGCCTAGTTTTATAGTGTATAATACAGGCTTAATAATGTATATGTATACAATGAAGTGGAAGAGTTATAATTAATATTCAAAATAATAGTAAATTATCAATAGAAAATTGTAGCGATGTAGCGTTGAGGCCATCTTACTCTGCGGCCAGATCTCGTTGTTACTGGAGTCTCGCCTTTTTGCTGCGTTAGCGTCGTTGATTCTTGAGACTCGTGTTTCGTTGGTGTGACAATCTTCGAGGATTTTGTACTTGTTGACTGAATATCGCTATCGATGAAAGCTGGTTTCACTCTATCGATACTGATTACATCTGTTTTCCCAGCTTTTTCTATGGTAATCGTTTTATCTGTCCTCGCTGTCACTTTAAACGGACCGTCGTAATTCGGTTGCAGGGGTGGTTGTACTTTATCTCTTCTAATGAATACATGAGTGCTTTTGTGTAGCTCCTGAGGTATGAATACCTGTCGTTGTTGAGGTCTGGGTGGTGTTGTTTTTAAATCGCTCATGTGCTTTTTCAAGCGTTGTACGTAGTTGGCTACATCAGTCGGAACACATTTATTCGAAGTGAAAAATTCTCCGGGTAACCGTAGAGTAGTTCCGTATACCAACTCGGCTGGACAACATCCCATATCTTGTTTAATTGTTGCTCTTAAACCTAACATTACTAGAGGAAGCTTATTGGCCCAATCATTGTTTACAATGACGGATGTAAGAGATGCTTTTAATTGCCTATGTAGACGTTCGACCATTCCGTTTGCCATTGGATGGTAAGATGTCGTTCGAATTCGTTTAATACCGAGGAGTTCTGTAAGTTGTTGAAAGAGTTGACTTTCGAATTGAGCTCCTCTATCAGTTGTGATGATCGCTGGTACGCCGTAGTAAGAAATCCAATTTTCAACTAGTGCTTTGGCTACCGATTCGGCTGAGGTATCTTTTATCGGTACTGCCACCGGCCATCGAGTAAATCTGTCAATGCATGTAAATATATAATTGTATCCATTCGAAACCGGCAGTGGTCCTACAATGTCGATGTGTATATGCTCAAATCTAGTATCTGAGTGTGAAAATGGATCCACTGCGGAGCTAGTGTGACGATTTACTTTGACTTTTTGACACTTTATGCATGTCTGTGTCCAATTACGTACATCGTGGTTCATGTTTGTCCATACAAATCGTTCACTGATTAGTTTTATCGTGGCTTTTATTCCGGGATGAGACATATTGTGCATACTTTCAAAAATCTTCTGTCGCAATGATGTCGGGATAAATGGTCGCGGTCGGCCTGTCGATGTATCACATGTTACTTTCGTGTTACCGAACCGCACCTCTTCGAGCACTAGTGATGTCGTACCCTCGGATCTGAGCTTCTTTAATTCGGTGTCTCTCTCTTGCAACTTTGCTAGACCATTGTAATCGATTCCACTTGCCATAAGTGCGTTTATCATTGCTCTGGACAGAGCGTCAGCTACGTCGTTTTCCTGTCCTTTAATATATCGTATATCGGAAGTGAACTGTGAAATGAATTCTAACTGCCGGATCTCTCTCGGGGCATAATTGTCTTGTTTTGCGCTTAATGCTTTAGTAAGTGGTTTGTGGTCTGTGCAGACGGTAAAACTTATACCTTCTACCATATGACGAAAATGTTTTATGGCTAAGTAAATTGCTAGTAGTTCTCTTCCAAAAGTACTGTACCTTGTTTGTGTAGGGTTCAGTCTTTTCGAAAAAAATGAGAGGGGTTCCCAAGTGCCGTTTACTAACTGCTGTAAAACGGCTCCTACCGCCACATCCGATGCGTCAGTCATGATAGCTAGTGGTGTTTCACTCTTTCGTCTAGTTAATGTCGTTTCTTTATTTAATGCTTTTTTGGCTTGCTCGAATGCCTGTATCGCCTCTGGTGATAATTGGAATTTCCGGGCGTGTCCTCTAAACGAGTCAGTTAATGGTTGCAATATCGCCGCACAATTCGGGATAAATCGTCTGTAGTAATTTACTAACCCGAGGAATCGTCGTAACTTCTTCCATGAGTCGGGTAGCGGATAATTTTTGATGGCGTCGACTTCTGTTGAGACAGGTGTAATGCCTTGAGAAGTTACAACGTGACCTAGGAATTGCAAGGATTCCTTTCCAAATTCACACTTCTCAATGTTTATGGAAACGCCATGTTCTCGCAGTCGCATGAATAATTGTCGTAACTGTTGTATGTGTTCATCCTTAGTGGCGCTGGCTACTAGTAAGTCATCAATATATGCGTAAACTCCAGGTAAACCTCTGATGACCTGGTCGATAAACCGTTGAAAGGTTTGCGCTGCGTTCATCAGTCCGAAAGGCATGCGCAGAAATTCGTACAGTCCAAACGGGGTCGTTACCGCTGTCTTTGGTATGTCGTGTGGAGCAACAGGAATGTGATAGTAGGCTCTAACTGAGTCGATCTTTGAGAAGATAGTAGCGCCTTCTATACTGTAAGTAAAATCGTGGATATGTGGTATAGGATATCTATCGGCTACTGTTTGTTTGTTAAGTGCTCTGTAGTCTCCACATGGCCTAACTTCGCCATTCTTTTTCGGGGCCATATGTAATGGGGATACCCACGGGCTGTTCGAAGGCCTTATAATGCCCAGCTTCATCAACTTGTCGAATTCCTGTTTTGCTATTGCTAGTCTTTTTGGGTCTAATCTTCTTGGCCTTGCATTAATTGGTGGTCCATTCGTTATGATATGGTGCTGAATGGAGTGTTTGAGATCTGCCTTATTGTACGTTACTTTCACGAGTTCAGGAAATTCCTTTAACAACAATTTATATGGATCACCGTGGCTTTTATCTATCACTAGATTCATGGAAACGGCTTCTGTAAGTGTTCCTCTTATCGAAGTGGTGTGACTACCATTTACCTCTTTCTGCAAAGTACTAAGTCTATCATCTACCGTCACGTTGTGTAATGGAGGGCTTGTTTGTTTGGTTCTTTCGTATATTCTATCGGCTATTTTTGCTATGTTGTCTATATCGGCGTCCGTATCTCCGACGGCTAGGATCTGCTGTACACTTGACGGAAGTCGCCTAAGCCACAGTTGATAAAACAGGTTATTGTCTATTTGCCTATCGCCCAACAGGCTTTTCATATACGTTTTTAGCTGTGATGGGGTTCTATCTCCCATTTGTACTTGGTTAAGAAGTTGTTCGACAGCTTGCTGATCACTTAGAGAGAGAGTTTTAATTACTTCTTGCTTTAGTACATCGTACGGCTTCTCGATGTCTGGTTTCGCTAACGCCTCTCGTACGCTATCTGCTACTTCGTCTGGAAGAAGTGTGCTTGTGAGACCGAATTTATCTCTTTGTAAGTGAATGCGGTTAGCCAAAAAATAATTTTCAAGTCTAATGAACCAAAGTTTTGGGTCGGTGACATTAAAAGAGGGGGCAGGAAGATTAAGAGACCTCACGGACTGGGTTTGCTGTAAACTTGATACAGTGTTTTCGGAAGACATGTTTATAAAAATATTAAGTAGCACACGAATATAATGTAACTGTCATAAAGAAAAATGGACGGACCAAAAACAATGATAATAACAAATGGTACAATTTATAACATAGAACAGACTTACTAAATTGCACCAAAATATCAATTGCTTGTAAAATATCGTTGTTTATTATGAATATTATCGTTATGTTCAATAATGTTTGTGTGATAATGTACGTATAATTAAAATAGTAATATAATAAATCCACAGTTAAAATTATAGTCCATATGATAATCCAAGTTGAGACGAAGTGCGTTGAATTTCGGGAATTTGATTATATCGTCGAAAGTTGTTTCGTGTTCGCTCGTCGGGATCGCCAATTCTGTAGTGGCTGTGCTTCGTTGACCAATCACCCTCGTAACCGTTATCGTATAAACCCCAACGGTAGTTGAAATCAGAAGGCAAACAGAAGCAGCTACTACAGTTTTATTAGCAGGCAACTCAAACCACAGAGCAGAGAGGCGAATGAGTCAGCAAACCGTGATTGTGTGAGAATGTGTGGAAAATGTGTAGTGTTAAATATACATGTATATATATAGAAAAGTGAATGGACTATCGAATCGATTAAGCGAATAATAATAAGGTTAGTGGGATGAATATATGCGTGGGCAGTCAACAGTGTTCAAGCATGCTTATTCATACAAGCATAACAATAATAGAGATAGAATAAGTTGTTAAAGTACAGATAACCTTGTCCGTTTACTAGGTTAACAAAAGGACTTAAACGAATTAGATGAGGGCAAACTCAACTGAACGTGAGTTGCTATAGTTTTTCTTGTTAAATAATTAAATGGGATTATTGAGTACTGTTCATCATTTTACAAAACAAGCGAATGAAAACTAGAATGTACACCTTATTGTCAAAAGGGCCATTTGGCCCTATAATTTCACCTAGTTTATGCTTATTTTAATACTTAGCTCACCAAAACTCAATAATTAGGATATCTAACATGATCTTTATCTCTGGACTGATTTATGCTTCACCTATTTAACGTTGTTAGCATGTTGCTCAATTAGCAATGTTTTCATTGTCTTGTAACCTTTAATTAATTTTAAACTTCACTCATCAAAATTTCAGTTATTTATATTAGACCGTATTACAATGTTCTGTTCGCTTGTTTGATGTTTTTATTTTCATGTTGTATTGTGTCACAGACCATTAGTTTTTCATCATATGACATTCATATCCACGAAAAGCTTTTCAAAATTTACCATTTTGGTGTCTTATATATTGTGTAATATTGGCTTTTCTCTCTCTTTCATGAACATAGAAAAATTTCATTCAACTTCATATGATAATTGTTATAGCATACAAAGAAATTGTACACTACCAGATGGTTGTATTTTACAACGTATACTATCTGTTCAATTGTTGATCACGACAGATATTGCTTTTATCTTTCCGCATTATAAACGTGTACGTACTTTTTTAACATCACATGGATGGACATGGTGAGTAACAGTTAACTTTAAATGGAAAAATATTATTTTACTCACAGACGTCGACTTATTCTCGATCAATTAATGATATTATTTGATGTATGTTCAAGTTAAACCCCTCAAGTTAGGTGATATTTTGTGTATCTAGGGTGTTTTTTTGGTATTTCGTGTACAGATTGTAAACATAGTATCAACGTTTTCGGTTTCATGTATATATATATATATATATATATATATATATATATATATATATATATATATATATATATATATATATATGATCATCAACAAAACAACACTTAGCTTGCATTTTGGATTAATGATAGCTCTTCAGTTTTCTCTATCTATTAATTATGTGTGGAATATCCTTTTTGCACACGTAAAAGTCGCTTTGAGAAAATTGATTTCTGAACTTTTCTATAAGAGTTAAGAAAATCACGATACCACTCCACTTTGTTTTTTATTAATTATTTTATATTGTATCTTGTTGTAGTGTCTTAACATTGTAGATTGGTGGTCGTATACTTAAAATTCTTTGTTTACAATTTTCTGTATCTATATACATATCCACATGTATAAACATATTTCCATTAAGTTCTTAGGGTTTTCAGAAAAATCAATAGTTGATTTTTTTTCATCCCATGTCAACTTTTAATATCCATAAAAGAAAGTGTAGAATGAAGAATTCACTAACAGTAATGCCATTTATCAATATTATCCCCTTTCTATGCTGTTGTAAGTTTTCAATGGATTGCACAAAATTTATTTCCACTTTTGTAATCTTACCTGTTTTATAACAATATTGTTTCGTCTGTCTATGCGTGAAACCTTATAGATATACTTACAGCTGCTATCACGTGCTACTTAAAATTAATGATTTATAAATTACATTATAAGTTGTTCATTTAAGGATAGTTAAAAATGTATAATCATAGTGCCACATTACTATCTCTGTACATCATTCTAGTTTGCTTGTTATGATGGCTTCTTAAATGTTTTTGTTTTCAAGTTAGAAACGATTTGATTCTTGGGATTTTGTCACTATTTATTCCATCAGCAGTATATGGTTTTATTCTCTTCCTGTATGTCATTTGATTTTGTTTCTTCATATGTTCTGTCATCGACTATTAAATTCCAGACATTAGCCTCTACGTCACTTCAAGTGCACACCTAACTATAAATGGAATGTCAATCCTGGCGATCGTTATCCTCGAATATCATGTGAAAGATAAATACACAATTATTCTGCTACCTAGACGTGTCTTTTTATCTGAACATAAATCGACTTTAGTTAAATAGAATGAAAATCAAATAAGAACCAATAGTAAGCTCAATTCTTTCTATGACTTTAACAGATTTAATGTTAGTCAATGCGTTTGCTTTGTCTTAACAGTGAACAATTAATCGAACTATATTTTAACTCTTATTTGTAACATCTGTCTGCTACAAACCATGAGTCTTGTTTCATGATGCAAATGTAATCAAATGTCTATTTTAATCTCTGACATACTCTAGTTGGTTCTATGTAAAAGCATTTTAGACATGATTCTTGACATCATTAACGCGTTCGAATAGTGGATAGTGTTCACCTCGTAATTTATATATGTCAGAACCTATGTGTAGTAAACATACTTTATCCACTTTAATCCTACAGACTTTTGTTGTATACTTTTGTCCATTCTCGAAGTGGGACATCTGTTTGTCTTGGTTTGTTATATATTGTTTTCAACTTTGAACACAATAATGTTTCTCTTGTTAAAATTTTGTTTCCTTTGATCAAAATGACGCTTTTCAGGGAGATGTGGCTTAAACTAGCACAGAAAGGTGAAGTGTCAAAATATTTGGACACACAAGAAATCGCTGAAAGTTTTGACATAGTAAGCTTATTTTCTTTTCCGTAATTAAAATTCCTGTGATATAATCGAAGGTCTTGTCTAAAAAAGGTGGCTTTTCGTCTGTCTTACGATACACTACTCTCACCACTATGTCGCGATTAAATGGATACACAAGAAAAACCCCTATTTAATTTTACAGGAGCTTAAAGGTAAAAATAATTTTTCTTAAACCTCCGAACACTATTCACACTGCCTGTTGAAATTTCTATAGTTTAAACCTATTCATTTCAAGTACTAATGCTCTTCCTTACCAAGCCCTTCATAGATTGTGATTCGATGAGTAAACGAGATTTGTAATTGCTGAAATAGGTGAATAAAATGTCGAGACTTAATTATTATGTGAGACTTAATTATTGACACAAGCCCTCGAATGAACCGATTTCAAATAAAAGAGCACCACCCAAAAGATTAAACTTTTAGTCTAATAAGATAACACGCTTGTCTACAATTTATTGTCAGAAAAATATGCATGAATTGATGACACAAGGGATTAGAGGTAATCAGTTTTGTACGTTACCCTCCAGTGATTTAAGGCCTGACTGTTAGGCTTGATTCTAGTTCATCATATTATCACCTACTTCACTTTGGAATTCAACCTAAATAGTCAGTTCGCTAATGTATTGCGATAGACTTTCCAAATGCATTTTATCGTGATCTTGTATGCAGTGAAACAATTTAATTATTCATAGGAACCAGCTTTTATTTAATATTCCTTTGACTTTTGTAGGTTGAGAAATATTTGATCGCCTTAATTGCTCGGGATTGCTCAATTATGATTACTGTGCAACGTGCAAAACCTGAGTAAGGATTTCGCTTATTTTTATATGAGAGATGCCATTTTCGTATCACTTTAAATGTAGAAGGTCTGTGTATCTAATTCGTACATCATTTTATCTATTTGTTTAAGTACGTCCCTTATGAGTACCAAATACTGGTACATCTGTTCCATTCCCATACAAAATCTTATGGATTTATTGAAACCATTTTTATTTATACTAAAAAGTGAAAGATACTTTCGTATAACAAGATGAAACTTATTTACAACCCACATTAAACGTCAGCGCACTAAATGTATGCTATCTCTCATTGTTTCAAATCTTATTTCACAGTGCTAATACAAAGTCAGTACTCCTGCT